TCCAGGCTTTCGAGCGTGAGCTCCGCGAAAAGCAGCGAGAGAAGAGAAAGGCTGAGAACGACCGTTACCACCAGGAGCGCAAGAAGGCCGAGGCCGAGCGAGTTCTCGCTGAGGCCAGCGACCCTGCTTACCTCGAGGAGATCCGCCGTGCCAACAGCTTGCTGCTGTTCCTCGACCCCAACCACAAGGTCGAGAAGGGCCCTCTTGTGGCCGATTCCGGCCTGGGCGCCCAGACCCAGCGTACCGTCGACGATGCCGGCCTGAAGGGAACCAAGCTTCTGCGCAAGGAGGACCGCGAGGACGAGTATCTGCCCTCCACCAAGAAGGGCAAGAAGGGCAAGAAGGGTGGTGCCAACGCAGCCTCCACCAAGGCTTTTAACTGCCCCCCCTCTGTTGTCGAGGACTGTGCCTTCATTGGCGTTGAGCCCCCCATGAGCAGCGAGGACGTCCCTACTGTCATTGAGAAGGTCCGCGCCAAGCTGGACCACTGGAAGGGTGACCAGCAGGCTGAGACCCAGCGCGTAAGTTGCATCTTTTCATTGGCCCTGATAATAGACGAAACTAACCGAATTGTCCCGTAGAACATCGACAAGGCAAAGGCAAAGATTGAAGAGCTTGAGAAGGCCGAGGCCAACGGTACCAACGGTGTCGAGGAAGCCACCGCCGAGCTCAAGGAGACTTCCATCGCCGACAAGCAGGAGTCATAATCTGCCACGCGGTTGGCACCTTCTTGAAATAACAGGAACCCATTCAGGCATAAGGCGTAATCTCAAACCCCTCTCTCCTCCAAAACCCTATCTCGCCCCTCTTCATCCGACCAAAAAGTCCAACTGTCTCCTTATTTTTTTAAACCCACCTTTATATAGCATCCCACCAGCAAGGAATGAATGATATCTACCAAAAAGTCTCCGATTGACGCCTCCTATTTCCCTCTCTCTTATTTCCTTTTCTTTTCTTACTCTACATCGGGGTATGGTGAAATTTTGTTGACATACAAGCCGAAGCCATGGATGATCAGGGACGTGGGATATACAATGATTGGGAAGGGAAATGTTTTTAATCACGGCCCAAACGGCCGTGATGAGGGGTCTTGAAGCAACAAAAAGGGGACAGAGAGCAGATGTCGTCATTGTGGTGTTGTTTTATCCCGATGTATTTATTGAGCGCTCTCTGGGAACGATAGGAATAATCAAAAAATCAAACGAATGAGCACAACTTCGAATGACGCACCATCTGATCCTCCTTCATTCACATTCGGAAGTTCGTGTAAGAGGCAAGCATTGTAACATGTTTTTCATTTATATTTTTTGTTGATTTGTAGCCATCAAAGCGGCTCCGCTAGCTGCTTCTCCTCCTGTCCGGCGATAGTGATGTGTGTTGTTGGTCTCTGGGCACGGCCCAGTAAGCTCAATGTGTGGGAAATCGCAGACCATACTATACTGTATAAATCAATGGTTTTTTTGTATCAACAAATATGCCACTCCCATACTCCAAACGATATGCCCTTTCGTTCGCATCTAATCCAGTACAACTTGGTCGTGTCGAAACGTATAAGTAGCAGCCTGTTGGTTGCTGCAGTCAATTTAAAACAAGTTAAAACATAAGGTGATTCGTAGCTCGAGTTTGGCGGCTCGCCATACAATTCCCGAATATGCCGCGCCATGCCGTTATTACTATCGTGCCGAGTCGTAGATATCGTGAAAATCGTCAAGTCTTCAAAAGCCGTCCTCTCCTGGGGACAGCGGAGCGGTCAAGGTCCACTATCCCTCAAGTTTGCCCAAGAATGTTCGGGTTCAATATGCTGGGTAATACGGTGCGGTTGTCGGCGGAGCTCCAAATCGCATACCGGTAGAGCGTCTGTTTCCAGGTCCGGGGGTATGACGATCGTGTCGGCCAACACCAGGGGGAGGAGGAGTCCGCGATGGGAGGTGGGCGGGGTCCAGGCCATTCATGCCACCCATACCGCCCATTGCGCCCATCCCGTTCATAGCACCCATCCGGCCGTTCATGCCGTTCATGGCGCCCATGCCATTCATAGGGCCATTCATAGCACCATTCATAGCACCATTCATGCCGTAGTGCATTGGAGTTACAGCTTGGCTGTTTTCATAAAATGCACTCCCCGGTCCTCCCCCACCTCCACCTCCTCCTCTGCCTCCCCTACCTCCAACAGGACCTCCTGGTGCGCCGCCGCCCGTACCTGGTGGGGGACCGACTCGACGTTGAGGCGGTTTCCTCTGAGGGCTCGCCTTGAAGGGGGGGTCTGATACAACAGGATCGTCATTCGAGGGTAAGCTCAGTTCTACCAGGTTGAAGAAATACTCGAGGACCTCGGGGTAGAGCTCCACGCTAGCCTTCCAGTCCTCATCAATGCCTTCCTTCAATTGGCGCTGGGCATCAGCAAGATGCTGAGGGTGAGGGGGGGCGTTGTAATAATGATAAGCATGGTTGGTCAGTTGATCTAGGTGCTCTGAGTGCTGGGTCTTCCTTTGATCAGATAACATGCGGAAGTAATCTAGGATATGATCTTGCGCATGGCTTCTAACCCATTGCCTATATCATCACATGTCAGTGTGCGGTACAACAAGCCGATGAGGAACAGGTTCATTGGACATACCGTATTTGAAAGTACATGTCCTTCATGACCTTGTCTTCTGCTTGCTTCATGGCAACATCGAGGCCCTTTGCTTCGCATTCACAAGCCATCTCGGCAGGCGCTCCGCAGATAGCACAGTCCGGATCCATTTTGATGATGTTCCGGCGTTTTGGCTTTGGTTCTCTAAAGTACATCTTAGCGGGAGGCCGAGGAACCGAGGCGATAGCTTGAGTTATGGTGAGGGGCAATGGCGGGCTACTGGACCAGCAGGGAATACACGACAAGATGTAGGTCGATACATAGAGGAGAGCACTCTGAGTGAAGGACTGACTACACCCGGAGCAGGATATACATGAATCACGAAGGACGTCCCTTGGGGCCCATACATGGGTACATTGGGAGATGGGAAGAAGTTTGGGATCTGGGAGGAGCCCGAAAGCTGGAGTGGGCTAAGGGCGAGGGAGGGAGGAAGGGGAGGTGGAAGTGCAGTCAATGCTGGCTGGCACGCAACTGACCTAAAGTATCAACCCAGGGTGGTGGTGGCAGCAGCTCCGGGCGTGGGGAGACCGACGGCGCGCTGGGCGGTAAGGATCCAAGGGCGGAGTCGGTTCAATCGTAAAGGACGGGGGGGTGGAGGAGGAGGAAGCGGCGGCTGTACGTAGGGAACAGTCCGGGCTGGACGGCGTCTGTGCTGCAAGCCAACCCAAGAAGTTGCGTCACGAGCCAGAAACGAAGGCAGAAGGGCGAGACGGTTCGACAAACGCACGATCTCGAAGTTTCGGCTCAGCAGGGTAACATGGGGACTGGATGTAGGTCTGTTGTGTGGAGACCGGCCGAATGAGGAGAGTCAATAGGACACACCCTTGATGTCGTGGCTCGAATGCGGGACTGGCAAAACGTATGCAAGCTAGCCCAACGAACTAGCAGCCCAACCAATCGACGTCGGCTGAGAATGCTATGCGAGTGGGATGCTATAGTCTCCTAAGGTCGGATCGAGCAAGATTGGCGATGGGCTGCGTGAGGAGGTGGTGTCACCGGAGCAGTTTGGGTTCCGCAATCGTGTGATTTGGTCCGCCGGCCTGTAACGATGCAGGATATCAACAGTAATAAGAACCAGACCGTGCCCGGTCAATTGACGGCCAGCTGCTCTCCTGCTGCTGTCCAAGAGGTGTCTGGAGGCTTTTCTGGCTCTGTGCGAGAAGGCGGGAGACGAAGGCAGGAGCAACGAAAGACGGGCAAGGGGGCCAATCGAGGCGGAAAGCAGTGATGGATCTGATTGGTGCCAGCGAGGTGCAGCTCAGCAATGAATGGAGGGCAGCTAAATAAGCAGTTGTTGTCCGATGTCCCGCGTCCGACAGAGGAACCACGATATGCGCAGCAGCAAAACACGGGGCAGCTGGGCTGGAGAGTGAGGTAAACGTGCAGCCCGAGGGAGAAAGTGGCCGCACGGGAGAAGTCACTTCAGTCGAGAGTGGACTGACTAACTGGAGGCGGGACCAGCTTCAACGGGCACTTCACCGCATTTTGCCTCGTCGACACTGCAGCAACAGCGCCATTAGCAGGTACCGACAAGGACGTAGTGCAACATGCACGCGACCGTCGAATCACAGCAGCAGGCCGGTTCCATCGCCGCTGCTTATGGGCAGCCAGCCGAGTCTGCCCATCCCCAGCAGGATTATGCGTTTGCACTTGGCAGCCGGTGAGCCGCAGTGTTCGATGCGGATGATGGTTAGGCTGCTACTGTACTGATGCCCTCTGAGGGGTTCGGGCTCGCTTGGCGTGGGGATCATAATGCACGGTGATATCGTGTTTGTCAGCGATGGCCGACTGCCTGAGTTTCATATAGCTCTTATGAATCTGCATAATACCAGTTTGAATGTTTGTACAGATCAATCGCAGGTAATACTGCAGGCAGCTGCAGCAGCCAGGCGTCGGTATATCGGTATTAACACCCCAACGCCGTGTGACCTCGCTGAATTGGCACATCTTTCATCCTTCATCATCTTTCATTATCTCTATGGTTCTTGATATTGTTCGTGCAATATTTCACCAAGCAGGTTGGCAAGATGCTCTGAAAGGTCATCCATGACACTGCGGGCAGGACAGGTGTCCTATATAAGTCAGTAAGTATAGTGGAAATCATATTAGATCAATTTGCTATAAATTACTTTGCTACATCGAGACATTCTTTTTGAGAGCTAGAGGTGTAAGTCGTGGTTATACAGGCTGGATTGCAGTATAGCAGGTGCTATATCATGAGAGCTTATCGATAACGAAGTTTTCCCAAAGAACCGAGCACGAGCAACGTCCCACCATGAAGACTCACCACCAACAAGGACAACGCCTCTGCCCGCAGAAAAACTGAAGGGAAATGTCCCCCCGGTGCACAGCTCCATCGTTCACGCTGGCGCCGTTCCTGTACCCATCCCTCTACGCGCCCCGAGCAGGCCACTCCGCCCGCGTCATTGCTCGGGTGTCCCTCCAGAAGCGATGCACCTCAACCGTCAATAACCTCCCAGAGTCTCGCCTAAACCCCGCCCCGGAAGACTTCTCCTCGCCCAGTTTCGCCGACAAGACCGAACTGACCCTGTATGCGGGACGTGGTGGCAATGGCTGTGTGTCGTTCCTGAGGGAGATGTTCCTCGCCGAGGGCCCCCCCAATGGCGGCGACGGCGGGGCTGGCGGTAACATCTACATACAAGCTGCCTATGGCGAGACTTCTCTGCACAAAATCGCCCGGAAGCAGTTCGTTCGTGCGGGCCGCGGCAAGCACGGTCAGGGCAGCGCAAAAGGCGGTACTAAGGGCGACGATGTTGTGATTACCGTGCCGGTCGGGACCATTGTTCGCGAGATCGAGCGATCGGACCCAGCCGCCGAGGAGGCCATGAATATCAAGGTTTACCAGGCGGTCCAGAAAGAAAAAAGGAAAGAGGTCAGATTGGCCGAGGAAGAGCGTAGGAGGAAGCAAAAACAAAAGGCCCTTGCCAAGACTCAAGGGGAGGAGGTGGACGAGGCAGAGGAAGAGCTTGAGGAAGAGCCGCTGGAGAGATCATCTCGAGCCATTGAGATGGAAGAGGACGAGGATCCAGACCTGGACGATCCCACTCGTCATAAATGGCTGCTATATCCAGGCATGTCCAAAAACGACATGAAAGGGTCAGCTTTTCCTCGACTACCCCGACGCACCAAAATGTATAATCAGCCTCCGGCGCCCGTCCATCTCGACCTGTCAAGACCAACAGTACAGCCCATATTACTTGCCACTGGAGGCATCGGCGGGTTAGGCAACCCCCACTTCACCTCCAAAGATCATCCTCGCCCATTCTTTGCGACAAAGGGTGAGGATGCAGTTACAATGAAGATCGAGCTCGAACTCAAGCTCCTGGCCGATGTAGGCCTCGTCGGCCTGCCCAACGCGGGCAAGAGCACCTTGTTGCGATCACTCACCAACAGTCGGACGAGAATCGGCAACTGGGCCTTCACCACGCTCCAGCCCAACATCGGCACCGTCGTCCTCGACAAATACTCTGGCCGGCCAGCCGTCTCAGCCTCCATGCGCCGCAACCCCGATGGCAGCCAGGACACCGAGCGCCGCACCCGCTTCACCATAGCCGACATCCCGGGCCTCATCGAGGGCGCCCACCTCGACCGAGGCCTGGGCATCGCCTTCCTCCGTCACGTGGAGCGCGCCGCCGTCCTCGCCTTTGTAATCGACCTCGGCGCCGGCAACGCAGTCAAGGCGCTCGATGCCCTTTGGCGCGAAGTCGGGCTGTATGCCCAGATGCGGGAGGAGGAAGAGCACGACCGTGAGGTCGAGTCCAAGATTGACTGGGACCTGACTTCGCCCGCCCAGGTCAACCTGCTCAATGCCGACGTCGCCGCCCTCGACGCCCCGCCGGCTGCTCTGGACATCACAGGCAAACCCTGGTTCGTCGTGGCCACAAAGGCAGACCTCCCCGAAACGCAGGCCAACTTCCGCGAACTGAAGGCGTACCTTGAAAGCATCACAAAAGGCGACGCCCCCCATCCCAGCGGCGTTGAGTCTTCCTGGACAAAGAACTGCACCGCCATCCCAGTGAGCGCCATCAACGGCCAGGGCGTGGATCGTATCACCCACTGGACAGTCGGCCTCCTAGACGAGTAATCTCACAAATAGTAAAATCTTGTATATTATGTAACAACTCTCGCATGTCAAAGGACGCCAGTAACTATACTTGGACGTTGTTGTGTTTTCTCAGGGCCTGCGTTTACGCATAGCATGTATTATAAGATCACAGATCCAATCTCAGGTAATACTAAAGGGACTCATACGATAGAACGTAACGGACGAATAAGGTACATTATACTCTATAAATCATGACGCTTTTACAGCCAGTTTTTAAAATTCCCTGTGACTTGTAAGGCTACTCCATCCCCTCGGGTGTTGGCAAATCTTCCACAGCGGCATTGTCATCGCCAGCTGGTTTCTCCTCCCCATTCTCATTGGCAGCTCCTTCCGTTGTCTCGGTCTCTTCTACCTTGCCGTTGGCGTTTTCCTTATCCTTCTTATCCTGGTCCTTCTTCAAGCCGATGTTGATGAGAGGCGATGAGTCGTTGTAAACCCGCAGGAGCATAGCCGCCCGGTCTTCCTTGGGCAGCATGAGGTTCAAAGATTGGATGCTCTTCCAGAGCGGCAGGGCCATGCTCTCAGAAAAATCCGGATCGTCGCCTTCAGGCTCGATACGCAGAACAGTGCAGCCCATTCCGATATCTCTGACGCGCTCACCGATCTCGTTGAAATGCTTCCACTGGTCATCGGCAATGCGAGGGAACATCTCGATGAGGAGCTTGTGGAATGTCTCTTTGCTCGTGAGATGCACAACGCGCGGCTCGCCGACGTACCCCTGAACAATAGGCATTCCCTCTGCTTGGATACGCCATCGGCAGACCTCGGCAGACGGTGCGTCCTGCTTCATGTACATGCGTACACCACCGTGCACAAACTTAATGCCACGGCCCTCGTTCTCAGTAAGAATATCTCGAATTCGTTGAGTGGTGTAGTAAATTCCCTTGGCTGGCTCGCCCATTTCATTGCGAACCATGTATCGGTCATCCGGGAATCGTGTTGATAGCTTGTAAAACTCCTTGATATTCTGGATGACTGGGTGGGATGGGTCAAGGTACTTGAAAGGCTCCTCGGTAGGACCGTTCTTTTTTGGCTTATTATTTGTCTCGGTTTGCTGAACCACGGGGGTGGCAGCCTCGGATGATTCACCACCAGCCTTGAGTTTCTTGGCTGGCAATTCTTCGGATTCAGATGCATCCAGGCTTCTCTTGCTACCTGCAGCAGCAGCTTCATCAGACTCCGCAGGTTTTTGTGTCTGCTCAGCCTCGGCTGTGGGTTTTGACTCTTCATCCAGGACAACATCAGCTTGTCCGGAAGCCTTGCTCTGGTTAAGAGTTACGGTGTTCTTGTTTTCATTCTCAGGTCGAGCTTTGAAGTCGGTCTTCTTCTCTAAAACAGTGATGAAGAAACCACCGGTGTCCTGCAAATGGGGGTAGACACGCATGCAACGTTCGAGGGGTAGGTCGAAACCATCAGATCCTTCAGGAAGAGGGAACATGGTCTGCACAACCTTACCGGGGACCACACCTTCATTTTCCTCCTTTGCAAACTTTTCAACATCCTCCCAAGAGTTCCACACTCTTGATGTCTTGTCAATGATCTTCCAAGACTTCATGCCAGGTCTTCGCTTAAGGTTGGGCAACTCGTTGCTGCAATCAAGAATCTCGACGTTCTCCTTTCCGCCACATCTGGCAATAGCAGCTGCAACCACTGCTTCGTTTTCAACAGGGTTCATGCTACATGTTGAGTACACAACACGGCCGCCAACCTTAAGCATCTGCAGAGCTCTCACCAAGATGCGGACCTGGGTCAGGTGGAGACCCAAACCACTTCCCGGCTGCCACTCTTTCCATAGGTTGACATTCTTCCTCAGAGTCCCGTCACCCGAGCAGGGAACATCAGCGAGAATTCGGTCAAACTTCAGGTAAACGTTCTTGCCGGCTTCGGAGGGGAGCTTGATCGAAGGGAACTGGACAGCATCGTGGTTGGTGACGATAAGGTTCGGGGAAGACAAACGCTTGAGCTGGTGCACAAGCATGTGGCCTCGCTTGTAGTCTGAGTCGTTTGCAATCAGCAGGCCAGTCGCTCTGCCAGCATCCGAGGGGTCTGCTTCAAGATCAACGTCAATCTCGTCCTGCGTCTCCTTTCCAACCACCAGTCCGTCCTCTTCGGCGAATGTTCGCAGGACCTTCTTGACACGGGCCTCTTCTCCTTGGTGGATCATCTCGAGCAACTGGGCTGCTTTGCTTCCTGGAGCAGCGCACATATCGAGCACCACATGGCCAGGGCGAACGTCCATGAGTAGAGGAGGGATCATGCTGACTACCTCTTGTCTACTGATGTTTCCAACACTTGTCTCCGAGACGAGGAACTTCTGGAAAGCAGCGAAAGGTGGGAACTTTCGGATGACATTCTTCGGGGTCGTCATCCACCAAGCCAGCTCATCGGGGTACCATGGGACAGGTTGCGGGGGTTCGACGGGGCGGCCATCCTGGTGCTCGATCTTGACAATCTCGGGGATGTAACGGGTCTGTAGATGTCTCTTGACAGAGAGCGCATGGCTGGCGACCGGTCAGCAACGGATGCGACAGAACCAGGACGAAACGATCAAACCTACCCTTTGGAACCAGCAAATCGAAAACTGTTGGGGAGATCTCGTCGCAGAGCATCCCAGAATTCCTTCTTCTCCTCTTCTGGCAGCTGGAGAAGCGAGTCGTAGTAGTTCTGGAAGGCCTCGTGCTCCTTGGCGATGGCAGGATAGTCTCTCCAGCCACCATTTTCACGAGATCCTCCACGGCCACCACCACCTCCGCGACGGCCTTTGCCCTGCACGACAATCCAAAGGTTAGCTGCGGACCATTCAATTGGGTGCGACTTTGATGAGCCAAGACGCTGCACATACTCTAAAGTTCTTCTTGCCCATTTTGTCGAACAACGATGCGATTGCAGGTTTAGAGGAAGGGTCGCGACAGAAAATTTCCGGCTCAGAAAGTTTGGCTGGAATTTTTTGCCCCGCAGCTGCACGCTTGATGTTGCATGCGGGCGCTAAATCCACTGGTTGTAGCAGGTCTGGGGGTCACTGCAGCTCATTGAGTCATTCCACTCAATTCATTGTAACCTCCAGGGTGGTCGCCGAAGATAGCGCTGTTGATATTCAGGTAGCTGCCTCAAGTTTTTTTTATCCTTCTGAATCATGAAACTGTACCAGCTGTACGTGTGCTTCGACTCTAATTCCTCAAATTCTCCCTCAAGAGCGCCGAAAGAAGTTACACAAACGCAGAGCTCTCATTCGGTCTCTCAGGACAAAATGCGCTGGGGGGACTCGAAATTTGATATACGTCTATCTGCGCTGGTTGTAGTTCCCACGCTGTGCAAGATAATGCTGTACGATCTAGACCCAATTACAGAGCTTCCAACCCCCTTTTCAAGTCTTCCATTCTACCCTATTTGCAATTCATATCAACGTGACTGAGGGTCAATCTACCTACTTAAGGTAAACAGGGATTACACTTGACATCTACCATAAGTACCCAAGTAGAAGTACCAGCTTCCCTCGAGTTCATTGCGCTTGCATACCCTATAGCATGAGGTACTATGTGTAGATGCTGCACAACAACAGCACTTGGCAACAAGCAGTAGTACATTCTCAACCCCATAATGCTTCAATCTCTATTGTGTGAGTTTATGGCTTCAGTTTGTATTTTATCCCGCCCTAAAAGGAGGAGTTGTATGTTCAGGGTCGAAATACTGATGCAGCTGGCTCATCCTGATAAATGGGAAGTATTAGGAACAACCTTATCTGCTAGACAAAAGATGGGCCTCCGAGGAGCGTATAAGTAGGTTGTCAGTTTAGTAACGACGAGTGAATAACACTCCATCGTGTGTGTTACTTTTACATTTTCCGTGGGATGTCAAACGGCCAGCCTGGAAAAGAAAAAGTGTCGCACGCTGAACTGTCCAGCGAAACCCGGCACCACTAATGATCACCAGAAACCTTTGGATTGAAGGTCGACAATGAATGTAGAGGCAGAGGATGGACATGTGCGCGACCACGGCCCATTCACCTTACTTTGGTTGTGATGATATTGCTAACAGGGCTCCTCCTCAAAATCGGTGCAGCTTGCTGCCCGTTATGCCCGATATTCGCAGCTGAGTTTCTACATGGCTGTTCCTAATTATTCCTAGACTGACCACCAGACTACCTCCTTTAGAGGCGTACCTCATGAGAGCCGAAATCCAAAGCACGTAGAGGGTACGCAAGCAAGAAAGTAGGCAAATGGAGAATGATGTAGGGTAGGTGCATTGGTACATTGGATGCGACTGCCTGGTGCCTCATGAAAATGGGAGCTTCCCATTGGCCCAAAAAAGAAGCTTTTGGCAGAGGCTGCTGCCTACAAGCTCCGACCAATGAAAAAAATTGGCAGCTGCGAGTGAAGACCCACCGTGCGCAATCAGTAAGTGGGGCCTCAGGCACGGATTCGTCTTTAAAAGCAGACGGGCCTCCCAGACTTTTCAACTTTTTCTTCTTTTCTTCTTCATACTTACCTTGTTTCGAACTCCCCAGCTCATGAATTGGGGGGTTCAGTACGGATAGCCTGCATTGCACAGCGCGGTGTTGTCCTTGCTCCATTGTCCTTCGGGGCCATGGGAGGCGTAATTTTTGATTTTGTCCATTGTTTTCATTGTGTTCACAGCTTGATGCTGGGTCATGAAGAAGACGCGTCGACTGGTGTTTTGCGGAAGAAGCCTTGTTCGTGACGAGGAAGGTGTGATGTGTTTGATTGATTTGTTTGCAGGATGTTGCGAGACTGGTCGCGTGAGCCCCGACCAGATGTGTTGATGTCTCGTGTGCCTTGACCCACGAATCGGTATGGAATACAGTCAAAGTCCCCTATGATGGATAGGCCCAGTCTCAAATTTAAATGATGGACGTCCTAACTGGTTGCTACGCGCGATGAAAGAGGCAGTGTCTGAGATTACACAAATTGTAACAGTCCGCTCGTCCCATTCTTGCCGTCTCTGCCTGCCGTGGCCGTCCG